AGTAGGAGGTCTGGATGGGGAGTCAAGCAGTGTGGTGGTTGGGTCACAGTAGGGGCTCCACTGAACACATGGCACTGATGATGAGCAGGAGCCTGTGTCCAGGCCGGTGAGCAAGGACAGCAGTGGTGTGAGGTGTGGTGTGTTTGACTGAAAGTGCCCCCTCTCCTCAAAAAGGAATGCCAGCCAACTTTTGATTGGATAGTTTTTATGTTTTCATTTACTCCTCAGATACCTTTTGACTCTGTGCCATAGGCAAGGCACTATGGGAACTACCAGGATGAACTGGGAAGTTCACAGTCTAGTAAATAAAATCTTCTGTTTCTTGGCCCTGGCAGACAAAGAGTTAAATTAAAGGCATTAATTAGTTGCCTGTAACAGACTGGAAGGACTAAGCTGAGACCATTCCTCGCCTTCCTGATTGTCATTCTTGTCCTCACCTTTACTTTCTGGGGCTTTCTTTTATGCTCCAGAAAAGCCAGAGGATCCACGTGTAAGTGTAGGGGAAGATGCTCAGCTCTCAGCAGGCCTGCTGGGCATTTCTTCATCTGGCTAGCAAGGTGCCTATGCCTTACATCTCAAACTTGAGACTGCAATTCTCTTGATTCAATTTGTTCCACATTATTCTCTCCTTTTCTCTTTCATAAGCATTCATACAGCAGAAGTTAGTTAATTTAATTCACTCCAAGGGTTATTTAATAACGTTTTGAATTAACTATGATTACTTTTTCTTCTTGAATGTTGAACTTTGTATGTTTTATCATTTTTTGGTAAATAGAGGTACACGTGTCCGTGATTAACTAAGCCTACCAAAATATGATTGATTTGAATTCATGTTACTTAAAGATGTGAGAAAGAAGAGAATTGTAAATTATTAAATGTCAGAACTGAAAAGTATTAAGATCTTTTACTCCTTCATTTTGTACCTGAGGAAATCGAGGCTCAAAAGGTGAATGAGATGTATGAGTAAATGTGCAAGCTTAGACTATTTTAAAATTTGCACAATGGGAGCTTTCATATTTTCTGACAGTTGGTGGTAATATTGCAGAAGAATCTTTTTTTTTTTTTTAAACCACTAGGGAATGCTGAAATATCAACTGATCAACTGTAATGGGGGAAAAAAAATCAGTCTTAAGTTTTCTGATTATTACATCTTTTCTGTTTAGCAAAATAAAATGACCTATATGATAGTCTGTAAGGATTCGAGGGAAAGGAGGTAAATGCTGGGGACACTATTTTAGATTTATTGCAAGTCACACCATTTCAAAATGATTGTAAGTCAGATATTTCTTGTAGATAAGCGAATTTTGTTCTCCCCTCCTAGCTATGCAGGGCATGAAAGTGTACCAGAAAATCTGCCTCCCTGGTTAGGTAAGCAAAGCTGTCTGTGTTCGTGGAAGATGCTGGGCCATAACCCATCTTGTGGTTATTTAGTTTAAGGGGAGTGATGTCGCACTGATTCTGCCTTTGGGAAAATGTCCAGTCCCTGAGCCCCACAGGCTGTATGGCAGTCCAGTAGTATGGATGGAAGACTTCTTGAGCAGACCCCATCATGAGATTTGGTTGGGAAATTGGACTTGGGATTCTTCTGTCCTTGTCCTCTTTTTATCCCTGTCCCTGTCTTTACTCTGCCATTAAAAAAAAATTGAACTTACAAAATTTCAGCTTTGACTCTTTTTCTTTTCAGGGTATTTTTAAAAGGGAATTTTTACATTAATTTCCCAAAGTGTTGTTGTTGTTGTTGTTTTTCAGTCTCTCTTGTGTAGGGTGTTTTTGGATTATAACCAGAGAATGAGGTGTCTTTCCAGCTAGGTGTTCCAGGTGCTATAGAAATCGTGTATATTCTCTGTATAGTCAAAGTACTATATAGATTTATAAAATTGAGCCTACTGATCTCATTTGAATCCTTGGTATGTTTTCTTTAGCTTATATGATCTGCCAAAGTCTGAAAGTGTTAAAATACTATACTATGATCAGATTTTATCATATCCCCGTATTTTTAGAAGTTTTAGCTCTAGATATCTGGTGGCTGTATTGCTTGTCCATATCATTTTTATTTAAAGAAATAGAATTGAATAAATGGAGAGAGACATACTATCCAACTGAATGGGCAGACTTACCATCATATAAATGACAATTCTTCCAAAATTATATGGAAATTTAATGACATTCTGATCAGAAATCCAACACTTTTTTTTTTGTGGGAGGGGGCACTGGTTAGAATTACCTAAAAAATGTTAAAAGAATACTTAGGGGTGGGGAATTTTCCTTATCATATGTTAATATTACCATAATGCTACAGTAATGAAGACATTGTGATATAGAAAATATAGAATTAAATCAATTGACTGGAATTAACAGATTCTAGTATTGTGAGAAATTAATATATGATAAAGGCTGAATTTCATTACACCGGAAAAAGGAATGTTTATTTGATAAATGGTCGTTAGCATAATTGGCTATCTGTTTCAAAGAGAACAAAATTAAGGCTTTACACATACATTTTTGTGGGTGAAAGATTTAAATGTAAAATACAATGATACTGGAAGATATTTTAGAACACTGTGTCATTTTGGGGTAGGAAAGGTCTTCACAGACAAGACAGGAAATGCAGAAGAAATAAAGGAAAACATTGACATTTAACTACATAAAATTTAAAATTCCTTTTTGGCAGAATACACCATAACATATCAAAATACTTAATCACACATCTAACAGTCAAAAACTGGATACCCTTAATCTTTGAATAGGGAAATAGACAATCCAATGGGAAAATGGACAAGAATGTAGACAGGCAATTCACAGAAGAGAAAATGCACATTGTCCCAAAACCCATTAAAATGCTGCCCGTACTAGTAGGCAAGAGGTACAGATCAAAATAACAACTTTGGCTTGGCAGTCTCACAGTTAGGTCTGTCCTATAGAAGTAAAAGCACCGGTATTTATGTGCACAAGGATATTTATTTTAACATGTTATTCTTACGGTAAGAGATTAAAAAATATCTGTATGTTCGATAATAGGGAAAGGGCTGAACAATCTGTAGTACATTTGTACTATGCAATGTTTGGTATCTGTTAATAAGGATGCCTTGGGTTATGTGTATTGATTAGGAATAATCTTTATAATAGATGAATTAGAAAAGGAACAAATTTCAGAGAGGTGTTAATAGCATGATCGCATTAAAATATGGGTATAGAGAAAGATTTGGGAGGGTGGACACACACACAGATGTTACTATTGATTATCTTAGGTGAATAGGATTGAGAGAAGGGTGGCAACGAGGAAACAGATTTTTGAAATATGTAGACCTTTGCACTTTCTGTCTTGTTGGCATAAGTCAAAACATTACTATTTATTTAAACCCATAACTCACACTTAACTTATCTAATGTTTTATGACTTGCCATGAAGCCTGGCGTTGGCCTGTTGGCTGGCCTTTTAAGAAGGTGTGCTGGGCCTCTGAGGGGAGAGCCCTGACTTCCACTCCCTGGCCTGTATGACTTTCCGGCTCCTTTATCTGTCCCTCTCATTTCTGTGATTCATCACTTCAGCCATTTTCTGGCCAATATGCTGTTTCTTTGCCCCTTTATATTTCATTTGTGCTAGACCAGGTTGATAATCAGTGGAGAAAAAGCATAGTTGTTCCAGCAGTGTCCTGTAAATCTGTGGTCTTCCAGCTTCCCATGATCCCTTTAAGATGGCTCTGCAGCCCTTCTGTTTTCCCTTGTTAGCTCCGTCCTTAAATGCAAGTGGTATTTCAGACAACCCCCTTCCTCAACTTCTTGCACTGCCATCTTTCTCTAGAGCAGCACAGAGCTCAAAACTCTGTAGGGAAAATGGAAACTCCATAAACTGCTTGCCGCTGAACATGCAGACGTAACCCTTGTCTTGTGCCAAGGCTGACTGGCCACCTGTGCTGGGGCTGCTAGCCCTTCCGGTCTCCTGGGAGGCTGGGAGGGATGCGGAGGTGGTGTGTGCTCACTGCATGGATTAGCCCGGCCATCTCCTGTATCTCCTCCATGTTTCCTCATTCATACATCCCCAGGAGTAAGTAGCACTGCCTAGAATACCTGTGTCTGACTCCTTGTTACCTCCCTGGCTTGTCTATGTTCTACGCATGCTTGTGTAGAAAGAAAGAAGGATATTTGGGTAAAATCAGGAGAAAACAGCATGAGCTAAAGAGAGTACAAGATCTCAAGAGTAAAGATGAAAGAAATGATGGAACAGACCTAAAATAGCCTTTCTTTCCCCTATCCAGATGCTTCTGGCCAGGGTGGGAGGAAAGTGGGAGACCTGTATTACTCTTACCTAAGCAAATGAAGGTTTAGTTGTTAGGATGGCCAAACCACAGCGTTGCGATTTCTTAGCTAGAGTTAGAAGCCTGGTGGTCATATTTTGATATTTGTGTTCTTTTACAAGTTTTTCAAAACAGATGAAAGATAAAACTTTGTAAACTAGTGTTCTCCAAGCATGTTCTATGGGAAAGTAGCTTGGGATGGGGCTTGGGAAATACCGAATTAATTAACTCTTAAATGTGCTGGCTTGCTTTGTGAATTTCCAAGTATGGTGTTTTCTATCTTTATGACCACTTTCTGCACTTCTCTCCTCTTTCCTGAATGTATATCATGTGTCCCTAGAAAAATAGTTTGAGAACTGCTAGAGGATACAAATAAATATGTGGCACTAAAAAATAAAAAAAAGAGAGAGAAAGAAAAAGATCGGGTTGCATGATGCCCGGTAACGTGACTAGTCACAATTTTTTATTCCCTGTCTCTGTGGTTTTTTTGTACATTTTGAATATGGAAGATGACTTTTTAAAAATGAAACTTATTTTGACTAATAATACTATAGATACTTATTTTGTAAATAAGCATAGTAGAGTTCTAGTGTGGCTAACACTTTGTGTAGAACTGGAAGTTTATCATACTATATTATTTCAAGGTTTCATTAGGATTGACCTGGATTTTTGTTATTTGAGTTATGGTTTTTATCTTCTTTTCCAGCGGCAGCCGATTAGGAGGCCTGGTTACAGTGCTGTGCTTCTTTTTCAATCATGGAGAGGTAGGTAGTCAACAAATATTTTCAAAATCTTTAGGGGATTGTACTTTTAGAAATACAAGTTTCTTCTTTAAGTAGTCAGTCAAATATTTTAAAACATTCTAGGAGATTTTACTTCCAGAACTACAGGTTTCTTTTTAAAATTTAATTTCTTTAAATTTAGTCTATAGTAGCATTCTTTAAATGTTTGGTCTTATTTTCATTCAAGTTTTACATTAGCGTTTATTTTAAGTTAACTTTTCATGAACATTATTATCTTGATTCTGTGATATATCTCTTAGTGATTTGAAGTAATAGTGGGTCTGCGTCAATTCTTTATATAATTTAAAAGTTTGAAAGTTTAGCTATAATAGAAATAAGTCAACCATGGATAAAGTTAATTTCCTTGTGTGGGGATAACTTTTTGTTGTAGGAGCTATATAGTGTGTTTCTATTTTAATGCATCTTATTAACTTGGATGTTATTTTTAAGTCTCCTTTGCAGAGTATTATACCTGTAAACTTGCACACGTCCAAGGGTTTTTTAAAGAGAACACTAGCAAAGAAAGTATTGACTCTGGATCCAAGCTACCTGTGTTCAAATCCTGGCTTTGCTGTTTAACAGCTCTGAGACCTGAGCAAATCATTAATCTCACCTGCCTTAGTTTCCCCTTGTAAATGGGTGTCATAATGGTCCTTATCTCATGGGATTATTGGCGAGTTTAAGTGAATTCATAAGTGTAAAGTGCCTGGAGCAGTGTTTGGCACATAGTCTAATTGGTACTTGGTATCCCTTTTTCTTAGGAGAGTTATTTTAATCATGCCAGTGAGTGGTTTATGTACCAGAAAATAGTTGTGAATTGTTATTTGCTTTTAATTTATGTAACTGTTACTTTGTATTATCATTATTAATAACTTAGTTTAGATTAAATTCTAATAGAAATTCAGGATGCCACTGAAATCGTTCCACTAAATCAATTGTAGTTGTAAATGAATTTTTATTAATATATCTATACCTGGTTTTCTTTCATGGTAAATCTTGTATGAGAGAAAGAAAAGAAAGGTCAGCTTGTTTTGTATGAAGTAACAATCCTTTTATGCATTTATAAACTCAGTGTGTATAATATTTGAATATGCACATATTGTAAAGCCCTAAGAGTAAGCATACTAAAACTTAACTATAGAGTCAAGGTTGAACTTTTTTTTATTGTTCAGTGGATTACTAATGGATGTTGAAGTAACACATGCTTAGTATTTAGAATCACAGAAATTTAAAGCCAGAGTGGCCTTACAGATTAGAGCATTTGAGAAAAATCATTGCAATATGGTTTGGTTTGCCTTTGAGGGAAAAAAAAAATTTTTTTTTTTTTTTTTTTGCCTCTTCTTGACTGTGGTTGCTTCTGAATGTCATAGTGTGGACCACAGAACATGTGGAGGCACAGATCCTGTGAGAATGACCTAAGAAATCGGAAGTGACTACTTAACAGTGAAGGAAAGGAGCATTGAGTGTTCACAATAAGACGTTGGAGGAAAGAGATTATAGAAAAATTTGAAGCCAAGGTGCAGTTTTAAAGACAGCTCTCTGTTAAGCAGAAAGGTCTACTGTATTACCCTCAGTCTAAATTAAAGGTTTTCAATTCCTGATCTTATGTTTTTCTTATAATTTTGATACTCATGTAGCGTGAGCATCATTCCTCACAAAGTCTTTTCAGTTTATACCAATGAAATTTGGACTATTCAGTTCATTTTTCAGGTTGAAAGACTTCTTTTTTTTTTTTTTTTAATACCTTTCACCTACTTAGTGTGTTTAAACATGCTTAGACATCACTTTCTACTTAGGAAAGGGTAGACTAAATGTGATTAGAATTAGAATTGCAATTTTTCTGAAATAGTCAAGTAGATAATTGTACTTTATATCAGCAACTTAGCTTTCGAGTAGAAAAGTGACCATTTTGAGTAAAGACATTAAAATTGAGGGAATAAACTGTAGTTTTGGGTAAAATAAGGGTGAGAACTTAAGTAACTAAAACCATTTTATTATAATTTAATAACTGTTTTGGTTTTCAGACTATGAGATTGTCAGACCCAATTATTTTCTGAATTTTAAAAATGTTGCCCAAAGCATATAATTTTTATATGTGGGAAGCATCCACTCTGGTAGTACCCATTCACACATTTAGTGAACTTTTTTATTTTTATTTTATTTTTTTTTAAAGATTTTATTCATTTATTTGAGAGAGAGAATGAGATAGAGAGAGCATGAGAAGGGGGAGGGTCAGAGGGAGAAGCAGGCTCCCCGCCGAGTAGGGAGCCCGATGCGGGACTCGATCCTGGGACTCCACGATCATGACCTGAGCCGAAGGCAGTCGCTTAACCAAGTGAGTCACCCAGGCGCCCCTAGTGAACTTTTTTAGAGCATCACAATGTGTATTCACTGAAATTGCTGGTGGGTTACTAATTGGTACTTGGTATCCCTTTTTCTTAGGAGAGTTATTTTAATCATGCAAGTGAGTGGTTTATGTACCAGAAAATAGTTGTGAATTGTTGCTTGCTTTTAAGTTCTATTTCCATTATTCAGTTTGCTCTCTATTTGAGTCTAAGATAGAATATAGTGTACTTTTGAAAATATTCTTTCACTCAGATGGTTTTACAAGGGAAAATTTTGGCCTCAACAAAAGAACTACAAGATGTGTAGTAGAAAAGGATTAATCAAATGATTTAAAACAGAAGTTGAAAACCTTTAAATCTGGACCCTGTGAAGATGCAATAAAGAACTCACTAATTGCTCATAGTAATGATCAATAATATTGAGGTTATATATTTCATAATAAAAATTATGTCGATGTTTTCACTTATCAAGCTTTTTTATTAAATGTTGATTCTGTCCCTATTGAAAATTATTGCTAAGAGGAAAGCCAACAGTTTTACTCTGCCTTTTAAATCCTTCCTTATTATACGATCAGATGTGTGCGCCTGTGGCTTGATGCTGCAGGATTTTTCGCATGCTGACTGAAAAGCATTTAGAAGAGTATATGAAAAAAATGAAATATAATATTTTTCTTTAATTTTTGACTGTTAAAAATTCATTATATATGAAATAGGTTCGTTTAACTTTTTCATGATGAGATTTTTAAAAAGTTATTACCCAGCATGATTGATGGTGTTTTATATAAAACATGCTCACAGATAAAAAGATAGGCACATTTATGAGGAGGAAAGTCCCTCCCCCTTTTTTTTTTAAACTAAAGTAAGTAAGTCAAAATAGTATATGAAAGATTTGCTTTAGAGGCATATCTAATTAACCTATTTTTATTACTCACAACATATTTCTGACCCATATTAGTTTCTTAAATATTTTTGAACTGAACTGAGATAATGTACATATAAATGTCTGTGTTCCTAATTAGTTTTTGACATAGTTATGTTATTTATGTAAGATTTGGAAAACTATTCTTAGGACACTTTGAAAACAGTTTCATTAATCCTTAGAATGCTCTTGTATGATAGATAAGTAGCAAATAATAATATTCCAGTTTGCATAATAATTGGAAACACTAAAAGGTTAAGTGTTGGCTCAAGGTTGTGAAACAGGGATAGGATTCTAAGTTTCGATTAACCAGTAATCTCTCCAAACTTCTCTCAACACAGACAGCTCTTAGATAGGGGAGTAGGATTTCAAAGATAATACCACAGTTTATCTTTTCAAGTAAAAAGTACAGAGATCTTTCCTTGCTAATTTGTGAAACTTGTTCTCTTCCCTTTCTCTCTGTCTCTCTTCCTTTCTTCTTCTTTTTCCCTCCCTCCCTTCTTGCCTTTCTTTCATCCCTTTCTTGTGAGGGTCACATTTTGGCCAGGAACCTTATTCTGGGTCTTCTTTTTATTCAGCTCAATTAAGACAATGTATACAGAGGGCTCACTGTATGCCAGGTACTTGTAGATGTTGAGGATATGTTGATATGTCAGTAAAACAAAGATCCCTCTCCTTGTGGATAATCATGTGAAGGTGGGACCACTTCTACCTAAGGTGGGGGAATACTGGCTTATTTGGGGAGCAGCAAGCAGACCATTGTGACAGGAGCAGAGAGTGAAAGGTGGGATGTGGAAGGAGCCTTTTCTGTAGTCCTTGTTGGTCACTGTAAGGTTCATTTGGAGAAGGTGGAAAGGCCATTGGAGAGTTACATGCAGAAGAGTGATGCGGCTTAAATTATTTTTTACATTAATTTGGAAAATAGTATGAGTGCAAGATGCATTATTTATTCAGACTATTGAGAGATGTGCTTATGGATTTGTGAATTTACATTAAACTTGTATTAACTCCAAAAGCCCCCACCCCCCCCAAAAAAGAGTGTGCTGCTCTTAGATGGGAATGTATCTATTGCTTACATGAAAACTGCCTATAATGTAGTAGAACTGGCCTTCATCCCCCTTCATGACCTGGGCCCTGCTGGGTCTCACCACTGTCCAGGCTGTTTTCTTTGCTTCAGTCCCACCGTCCTTTCTTCTCTAGTTTCCAGAGAGGACTACTCCTTTTCCTGCCTCAGGGCTTTGGTACATAGTTTCCTATGCCCTGTATAATTCCTTCCTTTTTTATCTCCTGGTCATCCTTCACATCTGGATATTTGTTTGGGTTTCAGTGATATTTTTCATCCTACAGATCTGGGTTTCCATCTGGTATAATTTCTCTTTGGTCTTAAGAACTTTATTTAGCATTGTGGTGAAGATCTGGTGCCAGCAAGGTCTCTTAGCTTTTGCCTGTCTAAAAATGTTTGTATTTTGCCTTCATTTTTTGAAGTGTATTTTTGCTGGATAAGAATTCTAGGTTGGTAGCTTTGCGTTTCAGCGCTTTAAATGTCATTCTATTGTCTTCTGGTTTCCGTTGTTTAATGAGTTATCGTTCTTATTGTTACTCTGCATGTAGAGTGTCTCTTCTCTGGTGGTTTGAAGACTTTCTTTTTATATTTGGTTTTTATTGGTTTGATGGTAATAAACTTAGATGTAGGGGCACCTGGGTGGCTCAGTCGTTAAGCGTCTGCCTTCGGCTCAGGCCATGATCCCAGGGTCCTGGGATCAAACCCCGCATCAGGCTCCCCGCTCCGCGGGAAGCCTGCTTCTCCCTCTCCCACCCCCTTGCTTGTGTTCCTTCTTTGGCTGTGTCTCTCTCTGTCAAATAAATAAATAAAATCTTAAAAAAAAAAAAACAAAAAACTTAGATGTATGTGCCCAGTTGAAGGCTCACTGAACATCTTTGTTCCATGGGTTGATTTTTTTTTTTTTATGAGTTTTAGAAAATTTTTAGCCATTATCTTCTCTTCAAATATTTTGTTTTTTTCATTTTCTCTCTTTTTTGAAGATTCTAATTCTGTGTTGGCCACAAATCTTTTTTGAAAGCATTCGTAAGTGCAAGGTTTAACACAATATTATAGTTAACATTAAGCAATATAAAGCAGTATTATAACTAATGAGGCTGTGTAGCTTTCAGAAGTGGGGTAATTTGTTTTAAACCTAAACATTATACCAACAACAATTTATGACTGATCCTATAAATATCAGCTCTAGTCAAAACTCTTGGAACAAGCCTTAAATATGATCTGTTTGATATTAACTATAATTTATAATTCAATAGTTAGTTGTACTCCTATTTCATTTTACATTATGAAGAGAAAAGTATATTAGGTGATAGATTTCTAATAATGTAACTGAACTATTTTGAAAGTAGAGCTTGACAAATGAAGCTGCCTATTACTAAAATTCCTTGGTTTTTGATTCTTGAGTAAATGATTTAAAATTCAGGCTTTCCTAAGCAGACAGAAGGAGCTTGTTCTTGTCAATACCTAAGCAGTATTATGCTGCAGCATTATTCAGTGCTTTGAAATATGTGCTAAAAATTATGTACTCTTAGAGGACACTTTAAGTAAAGTGAGATTTTCATTGAGTTCATTTTCACAATTCAGGAATGTCTTGTATTTTGTCTGAGTGCTTCATACAGTGGTGTAACCCCTTGTGAAGGAGTTCGCACATTTATTCCCTTCTTTAATTCCTAAATTTGAGGACAATGCCTTTAGAAGGCATTGGCGTTTTGAACTGTCAACCTATTATAATTAAAGAAAAATATTTATTTGTTGAAACTTAAGGTATGATTAAAGCAAATCTGTGTACTGTTTTCAAATTACACGGGGTCATCTGGACCAGCAATTATGTTTGTAGCAGCTCGAGTAAAGCACATTGTGTTATTGGAGAAACAATAGGAAGCACTTTCACATATTTGCGTTCATTCACCCTTAACATTATAGAGGCGAAAGATCTTGCTCTTTGTTTCAATTCTGTAATTTAGCCTTCTCATCCAGCTTTACAAAGGATGTAATTGAGTTTGAGAGAATTGAGTGCCTTTAGCTATTAAGGAAAGAAATTTCTAAGAGATGGCACCATAGTTAAAATTGGGTAACAAAATAAGTGTGAGTGAACAGTCTGTATGAAGAAATTCTTAAATTGTACATTACATTGTTTAACTAATTTCTTCTTGGTTTTTGCACAGAGATTGATAACTTTATAAATTGTGGTTATATATCTCTACTATCAATCATATTGAAATTTCTAGTTAATTTCGTGAACTAACAGATTTTTAAAGTTGTGTTCCAGTAACAACAAATACACATTTTAAAAAAGACTTTTTCAATCTTTTCAGAATTCTCTTGTGTGTATAGTTCATTTATAAATAGGTATCTATGTTAAATCTCATAGAGGATAGTGAATTTTGGTTAAAAAGAGAAGTAAATTGGCTCAAACTTTTGTAGCAATAGTAGAAATATCTAACAGTCTGAGGTAGAGCTAAAATAAAGGAAAGGCTTATTTCCACTGTGGTCTTTGTAATTTCATATAGTCTTTAACTGCTTGAGTTGAAAGACGTAATGATTTCTTCTAGTGTGACTAGCTTAGTCGGGGTAATTAATATCAGATTATTTATATTTCATCCAATGCAGTTTCCTTTAATTGAAAGATAGACTTATTAATTTATTTAGTATAGATGCAGAAAAATGGGAGTGCTAAAACTGGGATGGAATATTAGTTTTTTTTTAAGATTTTATTTATCTTAGAGCATGCATGTGCAAGCAGGGGGAGGGGCAGGGGGAGAGAGAGAGAGAGAGAATGGGATGGAACATTACTTAATTAAGTCCAAAGTGAGTTCTTCAGTAGAGTTGGTACATGTCATTTTAGGACTTTTGTTATTTTTATTTGATCCCTCTTCCCCTTTTAAATTTTTGTAGCCCAGGGTAGCTTGGGCAAAGAAGAAGTAAAAACAGAAATGGAGTGCTCTTTTTTTTAGCAGCATTGTGAATAGAAATGCTAACATTGATGACTACAAAGAGTTTTGAAGTATTGGTTATGGAGAGGTTTGCTGAAATTCAAGTGGACGGACAAATTAAGTGGTTTATACAACCAATTCCAGTGAAATGTTTTTAATTTTGGCAGAACATTTTCTTGCTGGTACTTCCCCTACTTTCCTTTTAGGCTCTAGTTGAAGTTTTTTGGTATTTGCTGTTGACAGTTCATGTTAATATTTCACAAGATCTTATGCCATGTGTGTCTCCCTTTCAATAATGCTTCCTTCTCACTTTTCAGTTTTGCTGTTGGTGGAAAACCTAGCAGCTTGCTTTCCAACATACCATTTAAATTATGTGTGAAAAAACTTTTTTTGTGTTTATGAATAGCTGCTTTCGATTACCATGTCTTACTTAACAAATTTAGCAAAGAGACCATACATTATGAATTGTGTTTTCAGTGCACTCGTGTGATGTGGACACCACCCCTCCGCGAAAGCTTCTCCTATCCATTCCTTGTACTTCAGATGTTGCTTGTGACTCATATTCTCAGGTAACTTTGACTTATCCTTAGGTCTTCTGTGTGTTTGTTTTGCATTGAATAACTTAAGCTAGAATTTTTTAAGCTTCCATAATAAAAACAGTCAGTATAATGAAAAAATTATGATGATGTTGCTACATTGAATTCATGGTTATTTTAAGGGTGTAACTTCAGAATATTTACTATCAAAAACATTTCCTTCATCTGCCTTCCAGTCTCTTCCTTTTTTCGTAGTGGCCCACGGAGCTGCTCGAGGAGCAGCAAATTTGCTTTCACTTCTGCCATCTCAGCTTTCTCACATCATTCTCTGCCACCACCACAGCTTCCCAGAAGTGGGCAGGAGGAAGGGGGATGACTGATGGCAATAGAGTGTAACCTGTACGATACAGTCCTTCAGAGGAAAGAATAGTTTGTAGAGTAATTATGGCCGGGTATGTTAACATGTGATTCTTCTTCCCATATTTGCTTAGTGTCCTGGAGCATCAGATAGTAGGCGTAGAAAGAAACCACTCAGGAGACTGGAGCTATACTAGGAAAATTCCTGCTGGAAATTCAGGATTGGATTGGGTTCTCCCATGTTCATCTAGCCTTCAGCTAGAGACTGCACAGAGATTCAAGCACCATATGAGTGGAAGAGAATAGAACCGAGAACAGTTCTCTCCCCTTTCTGTTGACAAATACTGAGCATGGACAGATGCTACCTTGATTCAGAGGGTAAAAATAAAACAAAATGGGGACTATGGGAAAAAAAAAAAAATGAAGCATGATGAAAATCTGAAGATGGCTCAGACTAAGAACTCCCTTTAAGGATCTGCAGAATTTAGGAGAAGCTGGTTGAAGTCTGTTACACCAAACCCTTTGGATGGTCCGTTTCCCCCTGTGATGACTTCAGCAGGACTAGGGTCATTATGTGGCCTTGTCTCTTAAGTAGTGTTTCTAGACAGGCCTCTCTCTGAATGTGGGATATATTCACTGCATTAAAAATTGTGGGTTTTTGGGCACCTGGGTGGCTCAGTTGGTTAAGCCTTTATCTTCAGCTCAGGTCATGATCCCAGGGTCCTGGGATTGAGTCCAGCATCGGGCTCCCTGCTCAGTGGGGACTCTGCTTCTCCCTCTACCTCTCCCCGCTGCTCGTGCTCTCTCTCTCTCATGCTCTCTCTCTCTCAAATAAATAAAATCTTTTTAAAAAAAAATGCGGTTTTTATCTAATAAATTTATTTCATAGCTCACAAACAGGTTACCTGGATTTTAAAAAGACTTGATTTAGGGGCATGAATAGCAGAGGGGGATGTCCTTAGAGAAGGGATACTTATGGAAGTAAAGAAAGGCATTTTGTGGTGGTGCTTAGTGCCCCAGGTAGGTTTACCCTGAGGAAGATTTCTTTAAGGTGCATACCTGTAACCTCGAGATGTTGCATATACACCTCACTTTGTGAAGGTGTTAGGTATGTTGGGGGCTTCGCATTAACTCACCGATTTAGGAGAAAAATACTTCTTAAAACTAGAATGAAAGATAAAATTACCTCACCTTCCTAAAAATCCCCTAAATTACAAGTCAGGATCAAAATGAAGCCTTCTTAAAGGTGGCTCCAGATTGGCCCCTGGCCTTTGCCACCTCTTCTCTTTTCTCTGTCCTCCCTGTGCAGGACCCCACTGTCCCCTCACATCTTCCACGGAGTCGCCCTCTGCTCGGCCCATTTTCTGAATTCTCCTTGTCTGCAGAATACTGCTAACACTTAGACTATGCCGCTTTCTCTGCTTTTCTCTGTCTCTCCAAATGAAGCTATTGGATGCAGCATTAAATGTGTTTGATTATGAATTCACCAAAATAGAGTTTGACAAAATTCAACGGATATACTGACCCAGCTGCCCTCTCTCTCTTTGACAAGCTTTGTTCTTACAGTAATGATGGGTATTTACTTTTCATGGGAAGTTGTTGTAGTTAAGTGTCAGGAAGTATAATTTCTAACCCATTGGTTCATTTTATGTCTGGTTTATGTTACAACCAGATCATGTTTAGAGATTCTAATTTGCAGCAGTTTGGGCCCATGCTAGAATACCTTGTGGTTAAATGTACTTATATTTATTTTCTCTTCCCAAGGGCTACAAAACTTTATAGAGGAAGCTTGATTGCACTCTGCATTTCCAATGTATTTTTCATGCTTCCGTGGCAGTTTGCTCAGTTTGTACTTCTTACTCAGGTAAGGTGCTTATATTTTTAAGGTGAATTAAGCTTAGTATATTTGATTATGTGTACTCATTTGTATAAAATTATAGAACTGAGATATTATATGATTCTAAGTCCTAAAATGTTTTTTAGTTAATACTTTTAAACAAAATTCAGGGTAGGGAAATATGTGCAATTTATTTATTAGTGAAAGTTAATTATTGACTTATTAGTGGACTGCATTTATTGAATTCAAATTGATAAGAATACTTTGTTATTCAGTTTTGTTAGTGTACGTAAAAGAGGACTAGTGCTGTAACCTTAAGTATTTCTCTTAAATAAATGTACTTCTTTTATAAATAATGCTGTACGTTCTTACCCATGGGATAAATGCACATAAGATTAACATAGGACAAATAGCTAAGCAGTTCTTATTTATATAACTCCTCTACCAATCTAATTTATCATTTTTCTGTGCATTCTTGCCTCCCTTTCCCTTCAAATAGAGGTGTATGAAGCAAGGTGAAGGTGCTTATTGAGACAGGGAGTAAATTGTGTGCCAGTCTCTCTCTCTGCTGCACCTGACCCCCACCTACTTCTGCTTCCTCGCTATGCTGGCCATATTCATGTTCATCTAAAGCAGCTTGAGAGCTGTTTTGCAATCTTCTGGGACATGTCTTGCTTGAGACATGAAGTAAGATCTGGGTTTGAGTCCTAACTCTGTCCACTAGCTGCTTGACTTGGACAAACTGCTTAGCTGTGCTTAGTTTCAGTTTTCTCATTTGTGAGATAGAGAAAATAAAAGAACCTGCTTTATTGGGTTAGGATCAGATGAGGGAATGTATTTAAGACTTAACATTGCTGGTACTTAGCAAGATGTCTGTAAGGTTAGCTGCTTTTATCAGTATTTTTTAAAAAGAGTCTATTTGTACTTAATTCTTTCTTTGATCTTACCTTTTAGACTCCTTTGCCTTCTTTAGTGTGGTGACATTTTAAATGTTCCTGGTTAAAAATGTCCCTGAAAAGAAAATGAAACAAAAAAGTCCCTGAAAGACACTTCTTGAAGATTCTACCTTGTAGGCCTGCTGTGTATTGCTTGGCCCTGGGGTGGAAAGGGAGAGTTCCCATTGCTTCCAGCTAGGGGTGATGACTGATTTTTGGGGGGGTGAGCGGAGGAGGGTGTTTCATGGAGTGAGGGGCTTCTGTTGAATAGCAAGGCACACTTCCTCACACCTGTTGTGTCATATGAGTCTCATTCTTAAGCAATGCATGTTCCCCAAGGATAAATCTGGGGAAAGGGAAATCTTGTTTTTCTTGCTAATGAAAAAATTTGTCATAGATTGTTTGAAGGTAAAAAACTTAATGAATGAAACTTAAGTTATGTGTTTAAGTATTCAACTACTTTGCGGTTTATACCATGTTTGTGTAGTACGGGAAGCATGGGATTTAATCTGAGTTGCTTTCTCCATGAAGAAGGGTGGAGGGGCATCGTTTGACATAGTAACTACATTTTACTAAGGGTTACATTATCATCATTTAATCAATTAATTCACCTAAATAACTCCAGTACTCTTTGAATTCTTGGTCAACACCTACACAGGTTTCTTCAAAATTGTAAAGAAAGTTAAAAGTAGTGAAAGTACTCCTTCTAATTTGAAATTTGGTAAATTTGATTACAACGAACACTTGAATATTTACATAAACGAAAGAACACTAATGGAGATTCTTGTAAAGAGTGACTAATAAGCAGAACTTAATGCACTTTTACACACACATGCATTACATAATTAATTTTGAGTTTAATGTACCTTTCCCAATTATGTATTAATTGTCATATGTTATAATTAAATATGTTATAATTAAATTTTCATATTTTTTGATTGAGCAAAGCACTTTGTAATTGTACGTGACGACAGTAGAGTCACCCTGACATTAAAATGAATATTGTTTTGAATAATCCACAAAGTAGATTATTCATATGGTTAATTGAGAAAGCTGCTCATGGAAGAAAAAATCAGTATTTGCTATATTAATATATTAATATATTGACTATGTTCAATAATAATTTGGCAGTAAGAGGGAAACTAAAGAATTCCCTTTGAATATAAATACAAATCAATGTGACAAAACAATAAAAAATAATCTTTTTTTCATTCTTAGAGCTATTCATTATATATGTAATTTTTATTTGTAATTTAACTTCTTTTTAAATTTCAGATTGCATCATTATTTGCAGTATATGTTGTGGGATACATTGATATATGCAAATTACGGAAGATCATTTATATACACATGGTAATGGTTTAAAATTTTTTTTTCCATTTAGTTTGACCTTAAAACAGACTCTTGATTATTAGTATTTGTTTTGCACATGGTTGAAACTAGTTGTAACAGGATTCCATAACTAAAACAAGTGTCATTCAAATACTATGATATAATTAAAGGCCATGTTTTAAGTAGGCCACCCAGGAAATTTTAATTTGGGTCATATTATCTGATTTGAGATTGTGCCTGACTTGCTATAAGTAAAAGAGATAATTCATGAGAGAGAGAAACACGGAATTGTATATTATCTAGGAGCCTTCCGTTATAATGAAGCAGAATGTTCGTTTGCTGAGCACCAACTATCCAGGCATGTGGGTCATACCACAGAATAGAAATACAAAGATCCCAGTATACCTATTAATCACATTTTGGAAGGCGAGAGGACAGAGGATAAATAATAAACACAGTAAATGGGCAAATTATATATAGTATGTTAGAAGGTGATAAAGGATAATCAAAAAAAAGGAACAGGAACAAGTCATGGTACCCCAGGGAGATCAGGAGTGCCAGTGTTAGGGGGCAGGGGAGTAAGATAGCAAATGAGGTGGTGAGGGCAGGTCTTACTGAGAAGAGGAGAGTGTAGCAAAGATTGGGAGGAGAGGGAGTAGTTAGCTAAGTAGATGTCACGGAGAAGAATTTTCTAGGTTGGTGGAACAGTTAGAACAAAGGTCCTAAGACTGGATAGTTGATTTTGAGGCTTGTTTACCCTTTAAAAACATGTCTTCTCTTTGTCATCTTTATTATTGAGTATTAGTATTGTTTTTAAGTTTTGTAAAAATGGTATCTGTTTTTGAGACATTTTTACTTAGGTTTCTGAGATTTGGATGTTATTAGAGATCAGACAGTTTCTTTCCTTTATATTTTCCATGTATAAGTAAATCACAATTTACTTGTCCATTTTCTTGTTGAAAGATGTTTAGGTTCTTTTCCTCTTCTTTTTTTATTTTATGAATAACTGTACATTGTCACATATACCTCCTGAGGCATATATATTAAGAGTTTCTCTAGGGTCTTTACCAAGTAGTAGAATTCCTGGGTGGTAAATTATATACATGTTCAACTTTTTAATTTAATCCTGTATTATTTTTCAAAAATGACTGGACTACCTTGAACAGTAATGTATAATATATAGCTCATATTATTGTACATCCTTTTTTATTTTGTCAATCGGGTGAGTATAAAATGGTGTCTTAGGGCCTTAATTTGCATTTTCTCTGATTCTCAATAAAGCCAAAGGTCTTTGATATGTTTATGGGCCCTTTGTGTTTCCTTTTTTGGTGACATTCCTATTTTTGTGGCATTCCTATTCAAATCTTTTTACCAGTTTCTCTCTTATATCCAAGAGAAAATGACATCTGTTTTATTCACTGTGGTATAATCCACTGTTTTCATTATTTTTATGCTTTTATGCTTGACTTGGTTCTGATTTGGCCAACTACTTTAAGCTGGCTTCTTTGTCCTTTTAACATATCCTCAAGCTTTGAGCACTTCTTAAAAATTAATAATTTATTAAAAATTAATAAAAGCTAAGCTTCATCAAATGCTTTTCTGCATCCGTCTGCATGATCCTGTGTGTTTTTCCCTCTAATATGTTACTGTAGTGAATTACATTAATTGATATTCTGCATTAAGAAACCTTGCTTTTCTGGGCTAAACACAATTTTTTTTTTTTTAAAGATTTTATTTATTTATTTGACAGAGAGAGAGACAGCGAGAGCAGGAACACAAGCAGGGGGAGTGGGAGAGGGAGAAGCAGGCTTCCCGCAGAGCAGGGAGCCCGATGTGGGACTCGATCCCAGGACCCTGGGATCATGACCTGAGCCGAAGGCAGACGCTTAACGACTGAGCCACCCAGGCACCCTAAACACAATTTTTATATATTGCTGGATTAACTTTGCTGCTGTTAGGATTTTTAAATCTTTGTTCATGAGTGGGATTGGACAGTAATTATCCTTTTTTTTACACTTGGCTTATTTTTTTTCCAAACTGTCTAATATAGCTTTTTTTTTTTTTTTTTTCATTGCATTGCAGTAAAAATCAGAATAGTTGGTTAGCATTTAGAGTTGGTCAGCCACATGGCCACATAGGTAACTATGGATGGAGTGTTTGACTCAATTATAGTTATAAAAGTACTAACATTACAGAGGTTTAGTTTGTAGTAGGACCTATCTTGGGTGAATGGTTTATGTTTTATGATGTGACTTACTATGGAACCAGTTTCTTACTGTGAAATATCTTCTTCCATTATCACTTTACAAATTCCTAAATCCCTATAGTTACATAAAGGAAAAAAATACAGAATTGTTTCCCAAAAGGATTTTTTTTTCCATTTTTTTATTGTGGTAAAATACCCATAACATTTACTATCTTAATCTTTTTAAGTGTACATATCAGTGATATTAAGTACATTCACAGTGTTATACACCACCCACCACTACCATCTCCCAAACTCTTTGCATCTTGTGAAATAGAATCTCTATACCCATTAAACGATAACTCCCTATTCTCCTTCTTCCCCTCCCCCCAGCTCCTGGAAACCCCCACTCTGCTTTCTATGTCTATGATTTTAACTATGCTAGGTACCTCATGTAAGTGGAATCGTGTAGTATTTGTCTTTTTCTTAATGCATTATTTTACTTAGCATAATGTGCTCAAGATCCACCCATGTTGATGCAAATTGAAGGATTTCCTTTTTTATGGCTGAATAATTTTTGCATCGTGTGTGTGTGTGTGTGTGTGTGTGTGTGTGTGTATGTATACACACATACCACAGTTTCAATATCTGTTTATTCATTGATGCAAATTTGTGTTGTTTCCACGTCTTGGCTTTTGTGAATAATGCTGCAGTGAATACGGGAGCACAGATATCTCTTTGAAATCTTGTTTTCATTTTCCTTGGGATTGCTGGATCATATAGTAGTTCTAATTTTAATTTCTTAAGGAACCTCCATACTGTTTTACACAGTGGCTGTACCAATTTACATTCCCACCAACAGAGAAAAAGGATTCCTTTTTCTCCATATCCTCCTCAATATTAACCTCTTGTCTTTTTATAATAGCAGTTCTAACAGGTGTGAGGTGATGTCTCATTGTGGTTTTGATTTGCATTTCCCTGATGATGAGCGATGTTGCGCACCTTTTCATGTACCTGTGGGCCATTTGTGTGTTTTCCTTAGAAAAATGTCTATTCGGGTCCTCTGCCCATTTTTAATCAGATCCTGTGGGGTTTTGTTTGTTTTTTGGCTATTGAGTTGTGAAAATGACTTACATATTTTGAATATTAACTCTGTCTGCTAGATGGTTTGCAAATATTTTCTCCCATCTTGTGGGTTGCTTCTTCCTATTGTGGGTCATTTCTTTTGCTGTGCAGAAGCTTTTTATTTAGGTTGATATAGTCCCACTTGTTTATTTTGCTTTTGTTGCCTGTGCTTTTGAACTCATGCAGGACTGTCTGCATCTGGGCTGGTGTGTGAGGGATGGGCAGCTGCTGTTGAGATCAGAGCTGAAATTCACTCGAAATAACTCAGTTTCCCATCGAAGAGTTCTCCTGGGAGTTGCAAGTCTTGGGAGAGTCCCGAGTTCCTAAATAGTTCCATCAGACAGGTTTGGGCAGTGTGGTTGTTGTCTAGGTGAGAAGACAGATTCCTGCCATTTTTCCAGAATCCTCTGGCTACACTTGACTGATTTTGATATCAGATTTATTTTAGCCCTATAGAATTAATTGTTAAGTGTCCCTACCTTTTCTTTCTGTCGTAGATTTTGTGTGAGATTGGGAGAATATTCCCTGAAAGTTTGGTGGATCTTGCCTATTAAACTACATGGGCCTGTTGTTTTCTTGGTGGACAGATTTTAAATTATTGATCTAACTTGTTTCATGATAATAAGACAGTTTAGACTTTTGTCTCGAGTAATTTTTGGTAACTTTTATTTTGCTAGGAATTGTCCCTATCTAAATTTTAAAGTTCACTAACATTGTTGTCTTATTTTTTTAACCTGCTGAAATGCAGATACTCAAAGACACAAATACTAAATAATTTATAATAATCTCTATTCTGTACCTTTTAAGTTCTCAATTTTCTTGCCTTATTTTCAAATTTTCTTCCTTGAATTTAAATTTGCTGTTGTTTCTGAGCAACCAGTTGTGTGTCAAACATTTCCTAGGTTCTAAGGAAACAGCAGTGATAAAAACAATAAAAAGGAAATAAAAAACCCTTCCCTTATGGAGCTTATGTTCTAGTGTACAAAGAAAGCAAATATGTAAGATAAACAGTTATGTTAATTGTTAGTAGGTATTAGTGAGGAAATAAAGCAGACAAGTTGCATGGGATTTGCTGAGTATGTAGGGGAGGTCGGAATTGAAAAGGGTGCAAAGACAAGGCCTCACTGAGAAGTTACATGGGGATAGCTAAGGGAGTTGAGGTAGCCAGCCACTAGGTTAAGAGGAACAGCAAGTATAAATGCTCTGAGGTGGGGGTGTACCTGGTATGTTCTAGGATGTGCAAGAGATGGCTGGATTGGAGTAAGATGGAAAGAATAATGTGAAATGAGGTCCCAGATATTAGTGGGGTAGGCCTTAGAGGGTCTGTAGGTGTGTGAAAGGCTTTTGGCTTTCCCTTGAGAATCAAAGCCTTTGGAGGGTTTGAGCAGGGCATTGACCAGATTGGCTGCTGAGGCAGGAATGGACCGCAAATCTCTCTCCAGACTTTTAGCACCTCCTTTTTTAATACTGCCTTATATTTTTTTCTTGAATACCCTTGGCACTGCTTTACCCGATTCTTGGTTATGAATCTGTTTACTCAAAGTGATGTTATTCTGCTAAATTCTGCCAGAATTGATTGGGAAAGTTTAGAGTTAGTTTTAAATTTTAGCACTTATGGGAAAAATCTATTGTCATAAAATTTTGAGGATTTGGTTGCTTACCTGTTTTGTAACTATAGGAGAATAATATACCATGAAAAGTTAAGTTCATTCCTGGGAATGCAAGAATGATTTGACACCATTACAAATTATATCAATATAACATCACATCAGTATATATATATATTTTTTAAAGATTT